CCTCCCCCACTTTGCGCACACGCTCTCTCTCAAAAATAAACTTAAAAAAAATCTAAAAAATATAATGAACAAATAACAAAAGAAAGATACACTCATAGAGAACTGGTGGTTGCCTAAAGAGAAAGGGGTGGGGAGGAGGGGCAAAATGGGTGCAGGGGATTAAGAGGTACAAACTTACAATTATAAAATAAGTCACAGGGATGAAAAGTACAGCAAAGGGAATAGTCAATATTGTAATACACTTACCTGGTGGTGAACCTGAGCCCCCTCCCCATCAGGACAGGGCAGGGTAGGAGGTTGGACCTGGGCAGCGTGGAGCAGCAAGAGTCCAAGATTCCACGTGGGAGTCAGGAGAAGCTGGCTAGTCCTCCTGGCCATGTGACCTTGAGCAAGTCACACTCCCTCTGGATGGATTCAACCTCCCCCAGGGAAGACACCCTCTATGCCTCCCCCAGCTTAGACCCCAACCAATAGACAATGCCAGAGCAGCACCTCTCCCGTGGGGGTAAAGGTGGAGGGATCAGCAAGACAGAGAGCAAAGGCAGGGCCTTCCTGCATCACCTGGAGGCTGAATCCCACTCTGCAGCCAGGGAGACCCCCAGTGGGAACCTGGGCACGAGAAACCTCTGTTAGGCTGGGCTTCCTGGGAATCAAGGGGCAGCAGGTCGCGGGGTGTAGTGGAAAATCCCTGGGAGCTGGGAACCAAGTCCTGCTATGGCATTAACCCCATGGCCTTGAATGACACTACACCAGCCATGTGCCTTCCAGGGCAAATAGGCTCTCGTGCCGGATGCACTGTTTGCCCACCAGGCCCGTCCTACCTGATTTTTCACCCTGCTCCGCACTCACAAGCTGACCTCTCCGCATCTGTACCAGCCAGGCTCCCCTGCCCTCTGGTTTTCAGGTGGCTTGGCCAACAGGGGGAGCTGACAGGACAGGGCAGTGGGCAGAGCCAGGGGCCAGGGTAATTATTCCACTTGTGTCCTTCCTGTCATGGGGCAGGCTGGCAGGTGCTGCCTTCCTCCTCCGAAGGCCTCAGTTCCTGTGGGGCTGCTCCCACTGGTGCTGATACCTGCCAGGTTCCCGCACCCTCACGACAGGGCCAGGAATGGCTGCTGCACCACCCTGCTTGGCTTCCCCGAGGCCCACAGCTCCGTCAGTTCTCCTACTAAATCCACCTCCATTACCTCTTTTCTGGTTTGTGCCACCAGTTTCTCACCAGGAACTGAACGGATCCAGCACTTGACAAACATTTCATCATTAAATCCTGCCACGTGCCAACGTGGGGTCCAACCCTATGCCACAGGGAGGCCCCTGCCGCATACCAGGATGACTCTGCTCTTCTCCCCAGAGGCCCGGCCAGTCAGGGAAAGAGAAACTCAAGCTAGAATCCAGGTCTCCTGCCTTCCTGCCTGGAGATTTGGGGGAAGAGATGCATCTAGGAGTGTGTGTGTGCTCACATGCGCACTGAGATGGATGTGAAGTTTCCACAGTGAGTACATGGTGGGGAAGTCAGGTACCCATTAGCGAGCACACGGCCCCAGCGTGTCCCATGGGCACCAGTTACAGGGCTGTGCCCTTGCAGTTTGGGGTGAGAGGCTTCACTGGTCGCTAACCTCTGGGTACCCTTACTCCCTGCTTTGCCCTCCCAACATTATTGTAATCAATCTTCTGTCTGAAACACTCTGTGGTTTGTTTTCTGGACTAGTCCACTCACTGTTACAGGGCCCCAGTTATTTCCTTAGCTGTATCTCACTTCTAAACCAGAGGTCAGGGTAGAGACAAGATAAGATTACCCACTGAGCCCCAGCACTAGAGCTCCAGACACAGAAAATTTCATAATAGTTTCTGATAAAATTCCACACCGTGACCAGAAGATGGCGGTACGCCACCATCCCGAGTCCCCAACTCCCCAGTGGTCCAGCCACACGGGAGGGGAGAGGGGCTGCTCACTAGCTTAGGTCTGTGAGCACTCAGGTAGCCCGAAGACCATTCTGCTTCAAGTGCATGTATCAGCCAGGTAAGACAAACACAAATAAAACCTCAAAACTGCAATCATGGAATAAATTCCTTTCAAACACCAAAATGTTATCTTTGCCTTAGATTTCTGGTACATATTTGGAATGGGATAAACCGTAATTCTTAATTAGAACAGAACACGCTGAGTGTGGAGCCTGCTTATTCATATTCTCTCTCTCTCTCTCTCTCTGCCCCTCCCTCCCTCCCTCCCT